GATGCGGGGCTGGGGTTTTGGGTGGAGGGGTGGGGAAAGGGGGGTTAAAAGGGGGGGGGGTGGAATGAAGGGGAGGAAAGGAAAGGGGAATGAAGGAGGGAACGAACAAGGAAAGGAGGAAACAAACAAGGAAAGGAGGGAACAAACAAGGAAGGAAAGAAAGAGGGCAAGGCAAGAGGGAAGGAATGGAAAGGCAAGGGGAAAGGAAGGAAAGGAAAGGAAAAGAGAAAGGAAGGAAAGGAAAGGAGAAAGGAAAGGAGAAAGGAAAGGAGAAAGGAAAGGAGAAAGGAAGACCTGCACTTGCACTGTGCTATGTTGTGCTTTTCTTGGGGAACTACAAGCAGGATGTTTGTCCCAGAGAAGTGCTGTCCTCCCTCCACATGGACCTTCCTCCAGCCACATCTTGTTCTTTTTCATGCTGTGTTATTACCAACAACACTAGGTTATTGCCAACACTCCTTGTCTGTTATTTCCAGCAATCCTTGGTTGGCCCCAAGGCCACCCACCCGTTGATGTTTGACACACACACATCAGCCCCTTGTGCCCCTCTGGGCACCAGGGCCCTGCACCATTCCCTCCCTCCCTCCTTCCCAGCAGGGTCCTGCCAGCCCCTTCCCAGCCCCTCTGGGCATCAGGACTGTTCATGTCCCACCCTGAACTCCACCTGGTGGGACACATCCCACCCCGTCACGGGGGGATCCAGCACCAGGTTGTACAGCAGGTGCCCTGCTGGTACTCTTGTCACTGTTCCTGCCATTGCCTTGTTTGTGCCACCTCCCCAAACTGAACCAATTCTCAGTGTTTTCTCAGCATTTCTCATACTCACAACCTGCTGCACTTCCCCTTTCCTTTTCCTTTCGAGGCCAAGCCAGAGACAGGCTCTCCTGCCACAGAGAGGGCAGCGGGTGGACTTTTTGCCTCGTGCAAATCCTCCTCCCCAAACCACAGCCTGGGGCTCAGAAACCCCTCAGAGCAGAGAGGGGGGCAGAAGGAGGGAGCTGCAGCCATCAGTTCCCACTCCTGCAGCTCCTGCACACCCAGGAGGTGCCATGGAGGGAGAGGTGGATAATCAGCAGAGCGTGGTGAAGCTGGCGGCTGTGTTTGAAGAGCACTGGTAAGGAGGGAGGGTTCTGGGTGCTGAAGGTGGCGGGGGGGGGGGCTCCACGTGGAGTGGGTTTTGGAAGGAAGAAACCCTCCGTGGAGGCGGTTTGGAGGCTGTGGAGAAGCTGACAAGGTGATTTGTTATTCTTTATCACTCTGTCTTCCTCCCGCTGTGGGTCATGAACAGAAGCCTGAAAACCTCAGTGGGGTGTGAGTGACTCTGCCTGGCTCAGGCTGTGGCAGCCCATTCCCCCCACGCTCAGTATTGGCTGGTGAATCCTTTCGCTGCTGGGAAAAGAACTGTGGTTTGCAAATATGTAGGCAGGGGTCTTCTTCCTCTGGGATTTAACTATCTGGGAGGATCTCAGCCTCAGGCTGTGCAGTTGTTTGCAGAGATGTGGCTCCTGGGAAAGGGAAGGCAAAGCATTGTGTTAAGGGGGAGAGTGAGTGCCTTTTTTAAAGCAGCTCCTTCACTTGGAGTGTGAGCTGGGACACTCAGACAGTGTTGTGCCAGGGTTGGAGTGAAGGGATCTGCCCTGACTGGTGTAAAAGGAATACTGAGGTTTAGGGTGAGTTACTGTTGAGGTCCGTGCCTCAGTTTCTCCATCTGTTTAATCAGGATACAGAATCCTGCCTTGTACCCATGAGGTGCTCTCAGTGAGCATTAATGGGGCTGGGTGGTTGGGCAGGTGAGTTTTACAGCAATTCCTAAAGTTGCTCAGGCATAAGAACTCCTTTTACTCCAAGAACTTTGCCGGCATCTCCACTGGGTGCTTTTTTCCTGGGATTTGTGGTTGTCCCCATCGTCCCACAGTGATGGTGTGTTGGAACTGCTGCAGGGTCTGATCTGCCTCCACATCACTGCTGCAGAGTGTTGGTTGTTTATTGTGGAGTCTGAGTTTGATTTAGAGGAAATAAAAGTAACTTTGGACTTTCGGAGGAAGCTGGGGAACCTGGGAATGAGTTTTCTGGAACAGAAAATGGTTTGGCCCGAGTCAGCACAAACAGAAAGAGAGAAGTTGGAGCTCTGCAGTGGGTTGAGGCTGACACAGGTCTGGGAGGCACTGGGAGAGATGGATAAAGCCTCTCTGCCTCTGAAGGCTTCTGTCAGTCCCCTTGGACAGGAGGGGATGTGTGCATGGCTGTGGATGCACTCCTGAGCTCACAGACCTGTGCGTGGGAGGGATCCAACATCCTCTTCAGATGAATCTCTACCCCTCAAGTCACCTCCTGTCCTCAGCTTTGCAGTTCTGTGTCCAGTTTCACACAGGTTTTTCTCTCCTCATCCCACTCCTGTCTGCAGGCCCACAGTGGATGTCTTTCTAGTTCATACCCAGAGCAGTTTCCTACAGGGACCAGCTGTCAGATGACAGATAACTCACTGTCACCTTCATGGCCTGGCTTCTCCCCTGTGCCTGCTCTGGACCTGTTTTCCTTGTCTCTGCCAGAAAAGGGAAGAGAAAACATCACCAAAAAACAACCTGTCTGCAAAACCACCTACACAAGCCCTGCTCTTGGCTCAAAACTCTTGGCTATTGGGCTTCTCCCCACTTTGGCTCTGCAGTGCCAGAGCTGTACCTGGGAAATAATTAGATATGCCTGGGTTCAACAGCAGAATCCTGCTTTTCTA